TTAAAAAAATATATTCACAAATGTGTTTGCTCATAAAATTTTGCAAGTTTTTGAATTTTCAAAAATGAGTTTTTTTTGTCCCGAAGGGACGGCCCAGTTGGTTTGGAGTGCGTTTTCCATACGGAAAACGTAGGTTCGAAACCAGCTCTATGCTCTTCTGGGTCTGAGCCTGTCGCACGGGGCATGCCTAGTGCGGTTCACATCCCTGTGTGGTTTGCAGGCTACTACACAGTGGGGGTTTACCCAGTACGCACAGAGTGCTCACCACAGAGTGCTCACCCGAAGGGCAGAGGCTGTGACAGAGGCTGTAGCGGCTGCGGGTTTTCCTGGGGTTCCAAAAAAAAATAAGTTTTTCAAAAACCAAAAAGTGATTTTGACAACTTTTCCAAAATTTTCAGAATTTGTTTTTCTCCCATTCATAAAACTGCAGCACTTTTTCAAGTAAAATGCACATCTAAACATAATTTCAAATCTCAAATATCATTTTCAACTTAGCTCTAAATATTATTTTTTTTAAAGTTATAATTTTTATGTCCAAATGCCAACTAAATAAAAAACAAATTTCAATTCACCAACCAGAAAAAACATACAAGGATAATTGTGTTCGAAAATTTTACAGTTAAATGTTTTACTTGCTTAGGAGTCCTCCTTTTCCCTTCTATTAAGATGATTCCATAGATTTTTGCAATAAAAATTAAATAGTCTAGATTTGTAATTACTCTTTTCACTATTGTGTCACATAATTCTTTTTTTTTTTTTTTTGGGTAATTAAAACTTTCATTTACCAGGGAAATATTTACAAGTAAATCAAAAACCTTACATATATCCTACGCTTTCTGTACTTCTCCCCCCTGCCACCTTTATATTACTATACTATTTTGTCTATTTACATAGAGTACCAATCCAGTCTACTTAAAAAAAATTTCACATTCTTATTGCTTCGACAATGTATTTCCTGTATAATCATCTTGCCAAGTATCTCCCATCGTCTCACTTTAGCTTGGAAGATTCTGTTATTCCTTTCTTGCCACACATAGTATGCACATGCTGCTAGTGTCATCTTATATAGTTCAGTTGTTGCAGTTTTCCTCTTCAGCCATTTTTCAGCCCGTGTTAGTTCCTCAGCCCATCTATATACTGGTCTTCTTATCCCTTGCCAAGCTAGCAGATTACCCCATAATTCAGCTGCATATGGGCATTCAAAGAATAGATGCTGAATAGTTTCACTTGCTTGACTGCACGGGACACACTCCTGATCAATTTGTATTCCCCATTTACTCAGCCTATCTTTGGTATATAACTTGCCATGTGCTGTCATTGTTACTAGAAATGTCCACCTAGGGCATGCATTGTTGCATACAACTCTTCTCCAACTCACTTTACTGAAGCTTCCTCGCAGCTTGTGATATATATGCTTGATTGAACAATGGCTCATCTTTCTGATGTCTTCATGATTAAAGCCTGCTTCCTCAAATGTCTTCTTTGCTTTCATAATCTTGCTCATCATCCATGATGTTTGCTTCAGTTGGACTTCCCATATGTTCCTACCTTTGATGTAGTAATTGTGCATCCATTGAATCCAAAGTTTGTTCTTCTCTTTGCATAGGTTCCAGTATTGTTTACATATAGCTGCTTTGTTCCACAGTGTGATGCTTATAATATTGAAACCTCCTGCTGATTTGGGCAGACATACTTTTTCCCATGCTAGTAAAGCTTTCTTAGAGATATTGCCCTCCCCTGTCCACAAAAAACTTCTACATATTGCCTCAATTAGTTTTGTGGTCTTCTTTGGGAGCACAAAGATTTGTGCCCAGTAAGCTTGAATAGAGAACAGTACACTTTTGATCAATTGAATCTTTCCAGCATAAGATAGGAATTTAGCTGTCCATGAGGTTATTCTGCCAACTATTTTATCAATTAAGGGCTGGCATTGAACTACTGATATTCTCTTAGAACTTAAGAGAGCTCCCAGGTATCTAACTGGCAGTTCACCTTTTTGGATTCCCAGAAACTCCAAAATAGCTTCCTGATCATCTTGTGATACCCCTCCAAAAAAGATTGAGCTTTTATTCTTGTTAATCACCAATCCTAAAGCTTTTGAGAATTTCATTAAGCGGTTATAAAGTAACTTGATTGATCCTATGTCACCCCTGAAAAAAGTAAAAGGTCATCTGCAAAACCAAGTTGCAAAATTTGCAACTTTTCACACTTGGGATGATAGTTGAAATCTGGAATCTGGTTCAAAGTCTTTGGGTTTCTATCAAATATTCCATTGCCAGCACAAATAGAAATGGAGATAATGGATCCCCTTGGCTCAGCCCCTTCCTAGCTTCAAAAGGTTGTGTCAATGAACCATTAACCAAGACTGAATATGTGACACTTTGCATACATGTCATGATCCATCTCACAAACTGTTCTGGAAAAGCTAGTGCATTCAGCACCTGTCCATAAAAGCCCGTTCAATAGAATCATATGTCTTCTGCATATCCAGTTTCATCATACACCTTGGTGACACCCCTTTCCTTCCATATTGTTTGACAAGTTCATGGCTAAGAATAATATTGTCTGTTATCACTCTGTCAGGAACAAAGGCAGACTGTATTTTATCAATCAGTACATCCATCACCTTTTGTAATCTCTTAGTTAAGACCTTAGAGATCACTTTATATAAAGTAGTACGGCAAGAGATTGGTCTGTATTCCTTAATACTGGTAGGATTTCTCATTTTAGGGATCAAAGTGATTGCTGTGCAGTTGATAGGTCTATACATTTGAGCTGATTCAAAGAACTCCAGAACAACCTTAGTCACATCCTCTCCTATGACTTTCCATGATTTTTTGAAAAATACTGCATTAAATCCATCATAGCCAGGTGCTTTTAGGTCACTAATATCCTTCAATGCTAACCAAATTTCCTCCTTGGTCACTGGTTGGATGAGTTGCAACTACTGCTCCCTACTTAATACTGCTCCCATCTTCATGACATTTGGGTTAATAGCAGGGATACTTGCTTCTCTTGAACCCAACAACTCCTTATAATATCCCAATATTTCTGCCTATATGTCACGACCCAAATCCCGAACCCGGTCGTGATGGCGCCTCTCGTGAAGACAAGGCCAACCAGAACAATGCCAATACCTCTGTTAAAGCAATTAATTAACACTATCAATTCTAACACATGTTTAAGATAACCATAAACGCGGGAACAACGATAATAACAAGGAGAAACCATCCCGACACAGCCCAAATCGGGGTGTCACAAGTCATGAGCTACTACTGAGTGTTCTATAAGTCTACAAAGTATGAAATCCGGTACAATAGTCTGAAGAAAACATAAATGATAGAGGATAGGGGAAACAAGGGGCTGCGGACGTCAACAGCTACCTCGTAACTCCAAATCACTGCCTGGTCTGGAAGGAATCAGCGCTCAGGTGCGGACTCTGCTATGCCTGAATCTGCACACATGGTGCAGGGAGTAATGTGAGTACTCCGACCCAGTGAGTAATAATAATAAATAATAACCGGAGGCATGAAAACACATAAGTGCACAAGGCAATTCTATATCAGGCAGTAAATCACCTAAAGCAGTTAAACAATAAAGAGTCAAATGAAATCTCCTTTTAAAACAGGTAAATCAGGTAAACAACAAGTAAATAGTGAGTAGGAATCTGCCCCTCGGGCCCAGTATCAATCGCTCAGAACAATGTCAGCCCCTCGGGCTCAGTATCAGTCACTCAGCATAGCATCAGCCACTCGAGCTCACTCTCAGTCACTCAGCATAATATCAGCCCCTCGGGCTCACTCTCAGATCATATGGGTAACGCGCTCACTGTGGGTGTGCAGACTCCGGAGGGGCCCTTTACGGCCCAAGCGCTATATCAACATAAGGCCTGAAAGCCTTCTCACATAACTCATAAGGCCTGAAAGCCTCCTCAAGTCACTCAAGCCACCTCGTGGCATATAAATGTATCTCAGGCCCTCGGCCTCATATCACTCAATATATCCTCACATATGGCCCTCGGCCTCACTCAGTCCAGAAATCATCACAAGCCCCTCGGCATCAGTAAAACAGTAGTGCTCAGCCCAAACAACATTGGAAATATCATTTAAATCTCAAAATTCAGTTATAAGTGGCTGAGTTTGTAAAACAGTATTAATCAACAGGACTGAGCTCAAGTAATATATCAAAATAGTGAGGAAACGGTGATAAAAGCCCACGAAGAATTCAAGAGTCGGCATGAAGCCCAAAAATATGGCAATAAACCCAAATCATATTGATAACAAACACAACTCAATCAAATACGCGGTAAAAATATCAATCGGGGCGGACCAAGTTACAATCCCCAGTAGTAAACAACCCCGCGCTCGTCGTTAAGCGCGTGTTTCACCTCAATATAGCACTACGTTGTGCAACTCCGGGATTTCAAACCCTCAGGATATCATTTACTATCATTACTCACCTCAAGCCGGCCAAAATCCTAGCTCGATATGCCCTTGCCTCGCAAATCGGCCTCCTCGCGTGTCGAATCTGACCAAAACCACAACGAATACGTCACAATAGGCTAAGGGAACATATCCCAATCGAAAGGAATCGAAAAACATCGAAAATCATGAAATTTGCAAAACCCGAGCCCCGGGCCCACTTCTCGAATTTCAGAAAATTTTACANGATGTTTAGCAAATCAACGAGACCACCCAAACTTTTGACCACGGTATCTCTGCTTCCTTTTCCCAAATCATGCCACCACATGTAAAGTTTCAAAGGGATCTCGCTCAGGACTGAGAAGGTTTCGATGTTACTTGCATCCATCCTGCACATTTATTAGGGGATTTTAATGACTTGTTTTGAAAAACGGCTATTTGTGCAAAAAGTCTTCATTTAGAAAACAGGCCTTAGATTTGCAAATACGGCCTTTCAGCACTTCTAGGAGGAAGATTTTAAGGATGTGCCCGCAAACCATTTAAAAATGACTCAGGGTGGCTGTTCTTGCAAAAACGGCCTTCCGGCGCCCTTTTGGGGACATTCGGCTTATTTTTAGCAAGAATGGCGTCACCAGACTTATTTTGACAAAAATTTAAAATTTTGACATTATTTGGCTATTTTTGAAAAAGGGTGGTTGGACCCGATGAGGGTTGCCTACGTATCTCACATCCGGTGAGAATCAAACCTGCGTAGTTCGGGCAAATAAACCTAACTATTTTTGAAAATAAGACTCTTTTGTTTTTGTTGGCAAATACACTATTTCTGAAAGCAAAATTCATTTTTTATGTTTTCTTGTTCAGTGGCAAATAAACAAACTAATTTGAAAAAATACAATTCTTTTTGGTTTTTCTTTTCCATTGGTAAACAAACTAAAACAACTATTTTCTTCTTTCTTTCATTTTCAAAAATCCGGCAGCATTTCGGCACTACTTGGATATTGGTTTTTCACAACAAGTTGTCACCCTCACGTAGTCCTGACACTGTTTATTTTCATAATTCACTCATTTAGACAAGCCGGTCAACATGCAAAGCCGAGCAAATAAATGCGCAAGTAGCACGTAAGATGCATCAGGATGGTCCATTATTTCAGGTCACTTGTCCCAGACGGACCCAACCCCTGTGTTGAGTCCCCTAAGTCAAATGCACATGATGCAAACAAGCGTCCTACTAGGGATCCGGCATGAGGTTTTGTTCTTCTAGGTTTAAACCCTAGGTTTTTTGGTCTAAACCTGGCTTACCCGAGCGGATAACTCGGGCCGAGGGGGAGGCAGCGTACCAGGGATACAGAAGCTCCGCCGGCTTTGCAACTTATCCATACCTCGTTCTAAATGGGAAAAGACTCTAAATAGAAGAGAAGCTACACGAAGTGCACCCTTCTCCATGATGTAGAAGACTCAGAGAGAGGAAGGGATTCGCGACAGTTTATATATACAATTCAATCAAATATCAAAGCGGTAAAACAATTAGCACACAAGGCATGAAACATGTAGGAAAATCAAATAAAGCCAAATACAGCAATTTAACTGATCTCGAATTCTGAACCCTGAACAAAAGTTCTGGGTCCTTGTCCCCAGCAGAGTCGCCAGAGCTGTCACACCTCCTTTTTTTCGTACTCCCCCGGAAAGGAGTATAATAAAAGGAGTTTTTCCAATTAAAGGACAATCGAAACGGGTTTATTTATTAAAAGATTCAGAGTCGCCACTTGGGAGATTTATGGTGTCCCAAGTCACCGGTTTGAATCCCGAATCGAGGAAAGGGTTTGACTCTGTTTAGCAGTCACGAACCAGGAATCCGAGTAAGGAATTCTGTTAACCCGGGAGAAGGGGTTGGCACTCCCGAGTTTCGTGGTTCCAGCACGGTCGCTCAACTGCTATATTTGGCTAAAGTCTGGTTTTAATACATGTCATCCTATGGTGCAATTTTAAAAAATTTGATTAACCACTTTTAATTAGTTTTTTATGAAAATGAACGCCGTTTAAGAGCGTGTTTTTGGGATCACGTCACATGAAATGCACCCGGATCCTCGACACCTCTTATTCAACGTTTTGGGATTTGGATTTGGGTCGCATGAAATGCATACCCGTATTTAAGAAGGTAAAATTATTAAAAGCGCGCCTAAAGCGGCTAGCGTCTTGTTAACTTTGCGGGAAGCCATGAAAATTCGCTAAATGGCATGTCCCGAATTTCTAAAATATTTTTAATAAAGCATTTAATGATGGCCCCGCAATTTATGCACTTTTATTTGGCAAGGCTCGTCCCACTTTTATTTTAAAGGCCAATCCTAAAGTGACTATGACTTTCTATATTTTCTTTTCTCTAAAAGGGGCCTTAGCTAATTGAAGTTATAACATCCGGGCCACAAGCTCAAGTCCGAATTTAAACAAAAGGAAAACCTCTTAATTTAAACTCGCTACTTAGCTTAAAAGCCTAGAAATGTGTTGCTGAATTAAAACAAGGGCTTGAGTAAGGTCTTCAGTACATTGGGCTTCAAAAGTGGCCCAGAAGCATGAGAATCCATTCAGCCTTAGACGAGGCCGCCCAGCGCTGGGCCTCAGTTGGCAAACTGCTTAGAATTTGGGCCCTTGGGAACAGGCCTGGCAATCCATTGTTTGCCCTTCCTAGATCCATAATTGAACCCCAAACCCAAACACTGGACTACAATTGAATTTCAAAGCGTTGGACACATTTCGCAACTGGGTTCAACAATTTGTCACAAATGAACAATTCAGGTTCATTAAATCAAGCAACTGCTGATCTTAAAGTTAAATTTCATTTTAGATTATGTTTAAGCTAATGCGTTACTTCAAGTATTTCATGAATTCAACAGTTCAACTAAAATGACTAACAATTACAATAAAACATCAGCCTAAAACGAAGCTCAAATTAATGAGGTGCTGGTTCCCTGTTCTCAAAGTCCAGCTATTGAACTTAACAAGTGAGACATAGCATCGTTTTGCACATTTATTGGATCCAACTTAACGTTGACGCTGAAAACCAACATTAATCCCAAATCTAACTTCATGCCCACGTTATACTAACTTTAACCATTCACTAATCATGACACTAATACTACTACATTTAACACGATAATTGGCCTTAAAGCAGAATTTTAGATTAACACTACTAGATAGGATACTAATGCTATGCTAAAAATAGTCCAAACAGTCCAATATCAGTCTATTACACCACATAAAATATCCAATAAACTACTATTTTAAACATCAGAATCAACCGAAACAGATGAAGCTCAGAGATCAACTTCAAATAGCAGATTTATCTCATTTCATA